AGCAATTGTTGGTAACGCGTTGTGGGTGCCGCTTTCGGTGGGGGGAACCGCATGCGAGAGCAGCCACTGGGGCCTTCGGTGGAGCTCCCTATGGGGCCACGAAGCGCTGCCCTGGGTGGGGGAACCGCATGCGAACACCCCCACTGGGGCCTTCGGTGGAGCTCCCTATGGGGCTACGAAACGCTGCCCTTGGTGGGGGAACCGCATGCGAACACCCCCACTGGGGCCTTCGGTGGAGCTCCCTATGGGGCCACGAAACGCTGCCGTGGGTGGGGGAACCGCATGCGAACACCCCCGCTGGGGCCTTCGGTGGAGCTCCCTATGGGGCTACGAAACGCTGCCCTGGGTGGGGAACCGCATGCGAACACCCCCACTGGGGCCTTCGGTGGAGCTCCCTATGGGGCCACGAAACGCAGCCCTGGGTGGGGGAACCGCATGCGAACACCCCCACTGGGGCCTTCGGTGGAGCTCCCTATGGGGCCACGAAGCGCTGCCCTGGGTGGGGGGAACCGCATGCGAACACCCCCACTGGGGCCTTCGGTGGAGCTCCCTATGGGCCACGAAACGCTGCCCTGGGTGGGGGAACCGCATGTGGACACCCCCACTGGGGCCTTCGGTGGAGCTCCCTATGGGGCCACGAAACGCTGCCCTGGGTGGGGGAACCGCATGCGAACACCCCCACTGGGGCCTTCGGTGGAGCTCCCTATGGGGCTACGAAACGCTGCCCTGGGTGGGGGAACCGCATGCGAACACCCCCACTGGGGCCTTCGGTGGAGCTCCCTATGGGGCCACGAAACGCTGCCCTGGGTGGGGGAACCGCATGCGAACACCCCCACTGGGGCCTTCGGTGGAGCTCCCTATGGGGCCACGAAACGCTGCCCTGGGTGGGGGAACCGCATGCGAACACCCCCACTGGGGCCTTCGGTGGAGCTCCCTATGGGGCTACGAAACGCTGCCCTGGGTGGGGGAACCGCATGCGAACACCCCCACTGGGGCCTTCGGTGGAGCTCCCTATGGGGCCACGAAACGCTGCCCTGGGTGGGGAAACCGCATGCGAACACCCCCACTGGGGCCTTCGGTGGAGCTCCCTATGGGGCTACGAAACGCTGCCCTGGGTGGGGGAACCGCATGCGAACACCCCCACTGGGGCCTTCGGTGGAGCTCCCTATGGGGCCACGAAACGCTGCCCTGGGTGGGGGAACCGCATGCGAACACCCCCACTGGGGCCTTCGGTGGAGCTCCCTATGGGGCCACGAAACGCTGCCCTGGGTGGGGGAACCGCATGCGAACACCCCCACTGGGGCCTTCGGTGGAGCTCCCTATGGGGCTACGAAACGCTGCCCTGGGTGGGGGAACCGCATGCGAACACCCCCACTGGGGCCTTCGGTGGAGCTCCCTATGGGGCCACGAAACGCTGCCCTGGGTGGGGGAACCGCATGCGAACACCCCCACTGGGGCCTTCGGTGGAGCTCCCTATGGGGCCACGAAACGCTGCCCTGGGTGGGGGAACCGCATGCGAACACCCCCACTGGGGCCTTCGGTGGAGCTCCCTATGGGGCTACGAAACGCTGCCCTGGGTGGGGGAACCGCATGCGAACACCCCCACTGGGGCCTTCGGTGGAGCTCCCTATGGGGCTACGAAACGCTGCCCTGGGTGGGGGAACCGCATGCGAACACCCCCACTGGGGCCTTCGGTGGAGCTCCCTATGGGGCCACGAAACGCTGCCCTGGGTGGGGGAACCGCATGCGAACACCCCCACTGGGGCCTTCGGTGGAGCTCCCTATGGGGCCACGAAACGCTGCCCTGGGTGGGGGAACCGCATGCGAACACCCCCGGAGGAGGGAGGAGGAGAGGAAGGAGGGGAACGCGGGGCACCGTCTCTTCAAAACGAGGACCCAACACCACAGGATGGTTGGGAAAAACACAGGCGAAAACCCAACTCCCGGGAATCTTGTGTGTAAAAAACAGTACGCGAGGGGGGTCTACTACTTCCAGCAAGCCATCAGGGGAAGAGGGAGAGTAGTATTCATATTGAGTAATTATGGAGGAGGGGGAGGAGGCGGAGGAGGAGGAGGAGAGGAGGAGGAGGAGGAGGAGGAGGTGAGGGAGGAGGAGGAGGAGGAGGAGGAGGAAGGAGGAGGAGGAGGAGGAAGAGGAAAAGGAGAAGGAGGTGGACGGGGACAAGGAGGTGGAGGAGGATGCCCCCGTTTTGTGACCCCTGCTCTGGAAGCCTGTGGTGGCTGGCCTAGGTGTCAAAGGCGGCTGCTGGGCCACAGGCGTTGAAGGCTTCAGATGTCAGCACCCCAGTGCTAGCCCAGCCTGCAGACTTCACTATAGGGTCCAGGCGTCACAGGCTCTTCGAAGACAGCAACACCTCTTCGGAAACACGCGCAAAGGAGTGCACACAATATCGATGCATGCGCAGGCATCCGCCGCCGTGAAAGGCGGCCGCGACTTCAGGGCTCCGAAGCTCCCGCCTCCACCGCGACACAGGCACGGCAGCGAGCCAGCACAGCACGCCTCCGTTGTCGTTTCCGCACCAAGCTCGATGGGGGACCTGCCAGGCAGGGCGGCTGCAGGCGCGGGGCCTCCCCCCACCCCGCAATGGATCGCGCGGGGGGCGCCGCGCTGCTCGGCAGCCTGCCTGGCATCGCCCGCTACGACAGCGGAGGGAGCGATAGCTCGGGCGGGGCAGGCAGCAGCAGCCGCAGCAGCAGCAGCAGCAGTAACGGCAGCCGCAGCCGCAGCAGGGGCAGCCGCCGCCGCGGCCCTGACGCAGCGACCGCTGGCCTGGACGGGCACGAGGCGAGAGCCGCGCTGGGCGCTTTCAGGCGCCGTCTGGACCCAGACGCGCAGGTCCACGGCAGCCATGCCTGCGGCCTGGCGTGGGCGGGCTCGGATGTGGACGTGCTCTCGGCTCTGCCCTTGGGCGAGCTGCTGGCCCGCGTGCGCCGCGGGGGCAGCGGCTTCACCCTGGTGGAGCACGTGGCGACGGCGCGTGTGCCGAGGGTCGTGCTGCGCCACCGCCGCACGGGCCAGGAGGTCGACGCCGTGGAGGCCGCCCGGGACCCGCACGCTCGCGCGAAGGACGACATCGTGAGGTCTTGGCTGGCGCTGGGCGACGAGGTCGTGGCCTTCGCCCGCGGCGTCCGCGCGTGGGCGCGCGAGCACGCCGCGCAACTGCCCAGGGAGGATGGCTACCCGAACGCCTTCGCCCGTGGTCTGTTGGTCGCCGTGTGTCATGGGGACGCAGGCACGACCAGACAGGCCCTCCGCGGGCCAAAGGCAGCCAAAATGGCCCAGGGCCAGCTATTGGGCCTGGGAGGGCCTGTTTGGTTGTTCCTCGCCCCCCTGGCACCAAAGTTCAGGGGGCCAGCCTGAGCCCCCTGCGAGTTCCCCTGCCTTGGGTGTGGCGGGGTGGGGGGGACCTCGCGGAAGTTCGGGGGAGCCTCTGGAAAGCCTCGGCAGGTCCTCGGGAGACCTGCTCTGCGGGACCTCGAGCACTCTCGGGCTGCCCGAGGTGGTCCCCCGAGGCCCTCCGAGGCGCCCCCTCCTGGGCCTCGAGGCCTGGCCTCTCTGCCCTCCCCTGGGCCCCCGGGGTGGCCAGTGGACCGCGGGGCCGTCGTGCTGCTCCTGTCGGGCTTCTGGTACCTGCGCTTCCGCCGCGGCCTCGCGGCGCCCGGCGGCGCCGAGGGATCGGTCAGAGCCGCCGGCTGTCCCCCGCAGGGCTCCTGCCCAGCGCTTGGGGGGGCTGGCCCTGGGGTTCGGGCCGTCGTCGCCCCGCAGGGGTCCGTACGTGGGGTCCTTCTCGGATGGCATGCCGCTCGCGTGGGGCTCCAGCACTCGTTCGTTTACGGAATGAGCCGTTTGGAGCCCACTTGCTGGCATGACTTGCTGTCTCAGGCAAGGCAAAAACAAGTGACTCACCAGGAGCTTGATCCGTTTTGTGTTTTCTCATGGGATCTCCCTCGGCTGTCCCCCCCCTGGTTTCCCTTCGACCCCTCCAGTCACTGCCAGTCGAGGAGGAGGAGGAGGAGGAGGAGGAGGAGGAGGAGGAGGAGGAGGAGGAGGAGGTGGAGGTGGAGGAGGAGGAGGAGGACCAGTGTAAACCCAAGAATCACCAACGATGTTGGAATACGCCCTCCCTCGAAGCTCCCTCTTCATAGGCCCCAGACAAGGGTTAATTTTCTCTGAGGGAGCTGCCTCGTTGGAAGACAATCGTTTGAAGACCCTGGAGCAGGCCAAAACATTGTTCTCGGGATTCCAACGCCATGGATCAACCTGACTGTTGCGTCTTGACGGTCCTGAATCGTGCCAGAACGCCATTCCTGGAAGTTCAACATCCCGAATCAATGTGACTGATGCTCCTTTCTAAAGAAAGATAGGTTCTACCCCCCCCCAGGACTTAACTGGACTTAAAGACCCCCCAGGAACCGATGCACAGCACACAGGATTCTGACCCAATGTCCATCCTACCTGTGAATTCACATGATCCCAACCAGGCCGGTATCGGCCCCCCCCGCCATCCTCTGCAATAAGTACTATGCGCACGCACTCGTTTTCAAGAAGCCCTTGCAACAAATGTGACGAAGTGAGTGCGCGCGCACGTCGTCGCGCGCGCATGCCGAAATCTTTCAAAGATCTTTGGTTTCGGAGGGATTTTACAATCGAGTGTCCAACAAACATTAAAAACATGGTTTCGCAACACAGATTTTCAAAACAAACATGCGCGCGCGTTCTTGCGAATTCACACGAACAAACATATGTTTTTAGCACGATTTCCAGAACATGCTACCAAACGGGCTTCGCGCGCGCATGTCGAAGTCGTTCGAACGCCCTTGCGCGCGTGCTGTCGCGAGAATCCTTTGCAACAAATGGGACGAAGTGCACGCGCTCGTCGTCGCGCGCGCATGCCGAACTCCTTCAAACACCTTCGGTTTCGGAGGAATTTTAAAATCGAGTGTCCAACAAACATAAAAACACAGGGTTTCGCAACACGGATTTTCAACAAAAAACATGCGCGCGCGTTCTTGCGAATTCTCGAGAAAACCCATACGTTTGTAACCAGACTTTCAGACCATACTACCAAACGGGCTTCGCGCGCGCATGTCGAAATCGTTCGAACGCCCTTGCGCGCGTGCTGTCGCGAGAATCCCTTGCAACAAATGAGACGAAACGCGCGCGCGTGTCGTCGCGCGCGCATGTCGAAATCCTGCAAAAGAGCCGTCGGTTTCGGAAGGATGTCAACATCGAGAGTCCCAAAACATACAAAACACAGGGTTTCGCAACACGGATTTTCAACAAAGGCGTGCGCGCGCGGTCTTGCGAAGTCTTAAGAACACCATAAGTTTTAAAACACATTTTCACAACATGCTACCAAACGGGCTTCGCGCGCGCATGTCGAAATCGTTCGAACGCCCTTGCGCGCGTGCTGGGGTGGCACGGTCTGTGTCAAATAACACCATGCGAGCCGCTCTCGCTCGACTGCCGCGCGCGCATTTTTTCTTTCAAAACCTTCATCACCGACGCGAAGACGCCGTCATCGTCGTCGGCGTGATCGGCATCGGCGCCGTCACTGGCCGTGCCATCGTCGCTGTTAGCATCGTTACCAACATCGCTACTAGCATCATCATCATCATCATCACCATCATCATCATCATCATCATCATCATCGTCATCGTGTCTACAGTTGTCGACGTTGCCATGATACCGCGCCCGCCCACGTTGCCGTCTCGCATTCAAGTGCCCGCCTGGATGTGCCGAGCGGTCAGCACCACCGCGGCCGCGTCGGTCGCGCCAAACTACCTGGCCGCTGCGCGCGCGCATGCGCGGGCTGGCGCGGCTGCACAGATGCACTTGCCAGCGCCAAGCACTCGTCGCAATCGCCGCTGCATGAGGTTTGCAAACCAAGTTGCGGGTTGGTGGGTGGGATGTTTGCCCGAGCTGTGGAGTGGACAATTCATTGCGAACATAAATTATTGCACCTTCATAACCCTGATTTTTTCCAAGACGCCGTTTCTGGTACGCTGATCATGGAAGTCCGTGAATCTCCTGCAAATTAGAAACCGTGCGCGGCGCTAAGGCGAAAACCACATTTTGAAAAGGAACCGCCCTCAATCCGTGAAGCTCTTCCACCTGTTTTAAACGAGTGTGCGCGGCGCTATGGCGAGAACCGCATTTTGAAAATTATCCGCCCTTAATCTGTGAAACTCTTGCACTTTTTTGAACGACTGTGCGCGGCGCTAAGGCGAAAGCACACATTTTGAAGGAAAAGTGCCGTCAATCCGTGAAGTTCTTGCACCTTTTTTAAACGAATGCGCGCGGCGCTAAAGCGAGAACCGCATTTTGAAAACCACCCGTCCTCCATGTGTGAAACTGTTGCCAATTTCAAGCTTCACGGTCATAGGTGATGAAATCTTAGGCGAAACGCCCGGCCCGCCCTAAAAACGGGCCGCGGGGTGCGACAGGGAAAGGTTGTTTATCAGGAAAAGGAGGAGGAGGAGGAGGAGGAGGAGGAGGAGGAGGAGGAGGAGGAGGAGGAGGAGGAGGAGGAGGAGGAGGAGGAGGAGGAGGAGGAAGAGGAGAAGGAGGCGAAATTCCGTTTCGCGTCCGCCGGTGGGCGGGCGGTGTCCCAGTTGGGCCGGGCGGTGTCACGGGTGTCCCAGGCGTCCCGGCGCTAACGTATGTCGCTAATTTGATAATTCATTATTTTCGGCGCCTGCATCCAGTCTGGCTTATCATATCCAATCCATCTTGTCCAATCCAAATCGTCTTATCAGATCAAACCCATCTTGTCCCATCTTATCTTAAGCCCACCCAATCCAATCCACCCAACCCAATCCATCATTTTATATGTTTCTGCACCTGCGGTGGGCCAATCCAATCCATCTGATCGTATTCGATCCATTTCTTTCAATCCAACCCATCTTATCTTATCCAGTCCATCTTATCCCATCCAATCCAATCCACCCAACCCATACCATAAATTCATTTTTGTCGGCGCCTGCGGCGGGCTTTCTTGTCAAATCCAACTTGCGTAAGTATCTTATCCAACCCATCTTGTCCAATCGAATTTGTCTTCTCTTGTCCAACCCATCTTGTCTCATCTTATCTTATCCCACCCAATCCAATCCATCCAACCCAATCCATCAATTCATTTGTTTCTGCGCCTGCGGCGGGCCAATCCAATCCACCTTATCTTATTCAATCCATTTCTTCCAATCCAACCCGTCCTATCTTATCCAATCCATCTTATCCCATCCAATCCAATCCACCCAACCCAATCCATCAATCCATTTTTGTCGGTGCCTGGGCGCGATCGCGGCAGACTGCGAGGCTCGAGCGTTCGGCGCCCTTTCCTTTCGGAAGCCGAGAGAGAGAGAGAGAGAGAGATAAAAAAAAACAAAGAGAAAGAGAGAGAGATGAGACCAGGGTGACAGGCTGGAGGTCAGGCAGGGTGGGCATTTGATTTCAATCCCTCCCAACCTCCTTGTCGCCTGCAGGGTGGTCGTATAGGTGTATATATATATATATATAGATGCATATCGGAGGTTCGGGGGTGAGATCGCAGTGGAACGGAGACCCCGAGGCGGGAAATCGTTTCGTTTCGTTTGTGTCGTGCGTGCGGGCGAGGCGAAGCTGCGTGGGCTCGCGACAGGAATGAACCCACCGTTGCTAGGGCGAAGTCGAGACAAATGATTCACCCCCGCCCGCCCGTCTGGCGTCGTCCCGCGGTGTCCCATGGTGTCCCGTGGTATCCCCTGGTGTCCGCCGTCGCTAGGGCGAAGTCGGGACAAATGATTCTCCCCCTCCCGCCCGTCTGGCGGTGGCTCGCGGTGTCCCGCGGTGTCCCGTGGTGTCCCGTGGTGTCCTCTGGTGCCCGCTGTTGCTAGGGCGAAGTCAAGACAAATGATTCTCCCCCTCCCGCCCGTCCGTCCGCCCGTCCGGCGGTGGCTCTCGTCGTCCCACGGTGTCCCGTGGTGTCCCGTGGTGTCTTGTGGTGTTCGCCGTTGCTGGGGCGAAGTCAAGACACATGATTCTCCCCCTCCCGCCCGTCCGTCCGTCCGTCCGTCCAGCGGTGTCTCGCGGTGTCCCGCGGTGTCCCGTGGTGTCCCGTGGTGTCCCGTGGTGTCCCGTGGTGTCCCGTGGTGTCCCGCTGGGTGAGACCGATAGTGAGGCCGATAGTGAGATCGATCGTGAGATCGATACTGAGATCGATAGTGAGATCGATGCTGAGATCTATGTAGTGCCCCGAGGTGTCCCGTGGTGTCCCGTGGTGTCCCAAAAAGTTAGATCGATAGTGAGAACGATAGTGAGATCGACAGGTGTCCAGTGGTGTCCCGTGGTGTCTGGGGGTGTGCCGTTGAGTGAGATCGATAGTGGGATCGATCGTGATATCTATAGTAAGATCGATGTGGTGCCCGTTGAGTGAAATCGATAGTGTGATCGATCGTGAGATCGACAAGTGTCTTGTGGTGTCCCGTGGTGTCCCGTTGAGTGAGATCGATAGTGAGACCGATTGAGTCAGATGTTGGTTCCCCCCTCCCCCACCCCCACACAATTTCTTTATCACCCGGAGGATGGTCGTATAGGTGTGTGTGTATATATGTATATGTATATGTATATGTATATGTATATGTATAGGTATATGTATATACACATATACGTTTATGTATATGTATGTGT